CCAGGCCGGGACCCGCCCCAAGCCGCCGAGAGACCAGGCGGAGAGCTGCCACAAGCCCACTGATCATAAGGTCAGAAGTGAGGATGTTCACTGGTGATTGCACAATATTCAGCCATTCACGACTCCTCAAATACTAAAACAGTCCGTGTCCAACTGCAGCACGACCAGAATACATCCCAGTTTGGATTGACAAGTGGTAATTAATATTTGTGTAACACAAGTACCAGGCAAAGTCGAACAAGAGAGAATCTAATCATTGCCCCTTGATACTCAACAGCATTACCATCGCTAAATTTTCCCACTACCAACATCCTGGAGGTTACCGTTGACCATGGCTGAACTGGACTAGCCATATAAATACTGTGGCTGCATGAGCAGATCAGAGGCCAAGAATTCTGAAATCCTCACTTCTTGACTGCTCAGCACTCATTTACCATCTATAGGACACAAGTCAGGAGTGCGATGGAGTTGTCTTCACTTGCCTGGATCAGTGCAGCTCAACAACACTCAAGAAATTTGTTGCTGTGCAGGACAAAGCAGCCCCTCAACTGGGATTGTATACAGAAACATTCATTCCCTCCACCACCACAGCTCAGCAGCAACTGTATATGCCACCTACAAGTTGCACTGCAGGTATTCACTAACGTTCCTTAGAAAGCAGCTTTCAAACCCACGTTTCCATACAAGTTACTCCCCAGCCTGACTGGAAAATATATGACTGTCCCTTCAGTGTTGCTGTGTCAAAAAACTTGGAACTCTCTCCCTAATGGCATCGTGGGTCTATCTACCCCAAATGGACTGCAGTAGTTCAAGAAGGCAACTCAGCACTACCCTCTCAAGGGCAACTCAGGGTGAGCAATAAATCAGCCTTGGCCCTAAGGTAATTGGCAGCCCTTCTTAGAAACTGTAAGGAGGTATTGCACCTCTCAATTGAGAGTAGCTGCAGTATTCCAAGGAGGGATGTAGTGTCTCTCTGATCTGATTTTCCATAAGGTACCAAGGGGACACATTTGCCCTGAGATCACACTGATGGCCAGCTTAGAATAAGCCAACCTGGCAAGACTTGCCCATAGAGAGGAGGGAAGGATACCCAAAGGAATCTTCATGCACCTACATAATTTCAGGTCAGCTTAGGGAAAGGTCTGGAAGGAGGACCCCAGCAGATGTTTTATGGCATTCAAAAACTGAGGAGAGAATAATGTTTTCAAACAGCAAATATGGTTCTTACTTTTTTCCCAACTCAAACAAATCTGCAGCCCTCTCTGCTCCTACTGGCAAAGGCAGCAGGGTCTTGCCTTTGACTTGACCCACGACAACAAAGACATTACTCTTCAGGCTGTGCACATGCCGCATGACATCTTGGGACACAACCTGTGGCCAGCTGTTGTGATTCCTGCTGTTGGTTAAAACTGGCACGACCACCTAGGGAGAAGGACAGATAGATGACTCTGGTCAATTCAGAACAACATAAATCGCTTCTTATTCCATATTATCTAATCTATATAGAGCTAATGCACATTTGGATTGTTCAGATTTACCAATCAGATTATTGCTTCTATAATGGCAATAGTCACTCTGCTACCTCTCTCAAAGGCATTTCTCTCTAAATTGCTCAATCTGGTTCATAGTGGCATTTTTGGCTTGCTCAAGCACCCTATCCTCTCTCAGTTTGGAGGCACTATACCTCCTTGGGATGTTCCACACAACGTGCTCTAACTCTGAGCTGCTCCATCCAACTACTACAAATTGGAGTTGCATTTTTTTTTCAAGATTTGGAATTCCCATGTGCAGAAAGCAAGATCCTAAAATTAAACAGCACAGGTTTGGTACATGTAAAAAAAAAATACAGAAATCTCACAAAAGGTGGCTAACTATTCAAAAAGCTAGTTCAGCACAGGTCTGTAGGATGCTGATATATCACTATGTGTCAAACATAATATCACATGTTTGGTGAAAGAACATAGAACATAGAACATAGAACATTACAGCGCAGTACAGGCCCTTCAGCCCTCGATGTTGCGCCGACCTGTGAAACCAATCTGAAGCCCATCTAACCTAAACTATTCCATTATCATCCATATGTTTATCCAATGACCATTTAAATGCCCTTAAAGTGGGCGAGTCCACTATTTTTGCAGGCAGGGCATTCCACGCCCTTACTACTCTCTGAGTAAAGAACCTACCTCTGACATCTGTCCTATATCTATCACCCCTCAATTTAAAGCTACGTCCCCTCGTGCTAGCCATCACCATCCGAGGAAAAAGGCTCCCACTGTCCACCCTATCTAATCCTCTGATCATCTTGTAAGAGTTGTAAATATTGAGTGGATTTTCCTTAGTTTTTTTTTTCAGACAAAATAGCATCTACACCTGTTGCAAAACATGTGCTATTTCAATAAATCAACTCACGGGCTACCATGGAAAAGATTTCTAATTGACATCTGTAGGTTTAAAAGGACAAAGGTTAGCAATCCTTCGTGAGGAATTGTAGTGACACTGCAAACGGAGGCGATTTCCAGTTCAAACAAGACCATAGCTCTATTCTGAAAGTATAAGAAAGAGGAAATAGCACTGAAGAGTCTGCTTCCGCAATCAGAATTTGAGTTGCACATTTATATACCTTAAAATCACATCAGCAACATCGACCTCTCAAGCATCATTAAGAGACAGGATATGTGCAATGATTACAGGGTTTCACACCTTCCAGACTAGTTTCTGGTAAATTGTATTGTAAAACTAAACACTCCTATCCCAGAGCTCATTCCTCAGCACTGGGTCCTTTTCTAATGGAGACCTGATGGTGCGCTGTCCTTAACTGAGGAATCCATTGTATTTCAGGCAACACCCCATCCAACCCAGGCCCAGCAATCAATTCATCTCCAGGTAAAATGATCTTTTTGACTCTGCAGTATCAATGGGATCCCTCTTCCCTTCGTGTTGCAGGGGGTTTTCCCTGTCCCTTCACTAGGTTATGATATTCCAATCACAATGTCACTTTGTGTACATTGGGGTCATTATCTTTCATCTTAATCTGTTTACTATGGCTAGTCTGGCTCCAATCTTAAATGATTTAATATATTTACACACCTCAACTCTCCTATCTCTGGGTGGTATGTGGCTCAGTGGTTAGCACACTGCTGCCTCACTGTACCAAGGAGCCAGGTTCAATTCCATCCATTCACACATATCTGTGTGGAGTTTGCACATTCTGCCCATGTCTGTGTGGGTTTCCTACCACAGTCCAAAGATGTGCAAGTTAGGTGGATTGGCCATAGTGTCCAGGGATGTGCAGACTGGGTGGATTAACCATGGGAAATACAGGGATAGGGTAAAGGGGGTGAGTCTGAGTGGGATGCTGTTTGGAGGAGCAGTGTAAACTCTATGGGCTAAATGGTCTACTTCCACACTGTAAGGATTCTATGATTCTATCCACTTGTTGGTGCTTTAGCTGCATAACACACATCTACTAAGCTATTAATTTCTCTGTCTGACAATAAATTTTTGTTTCCGCTCCTATTATTTCAATACTGGCCTGCTGGCAGTTGTTATTTTGATAGGATTGCCTGTTTTACATAGAATAAAGAGATTTCACAAATTCCTGGCACACCAGCAAATCCAGCTGTGCAGCCCAGATGGAAGAGTCGAGCTACTCAATGCACCAGCAGATAAACACCTCAACGTGTCCATCCAGATTGGGGTCAGAAGGTGCAGAAGGCTACTTGTATTCAGTCAATTCAATAATTGGTCACCTCCCACTGTTTCAGAGTCTACTTCATTGCGACTCCATTCCTTTGCTGTCCATCCCTGTTCACGATTCCTGTCATAGACTGAGGCTAATCTGTAACTCAAGCACCATTAACATTTAAAATAAAATCTGGAACAAAATCTTGGAAACTATGAGGGGGGTGAAGTAGAAGGGGCAGGTACGCAGTCCAGGATCATCTTTGATAGGGAGTTGTGGGATTTCCTCAAACCCGTCCTTGTCATCGATTGTAATCCAGTCGTGAACTCATTGAAGTGTTCTCTCTATCAGAGGCGGATGGTTTCTCTATCTCTCAAAAACGTTCCATCCTTACTTCGCACCAGTTTGAGGCCCAAGGTGTTGAGCCCACAAACTGCCTTAGTGACAATGAAGAACTCCTGAATGTTGCAGTCATCAGCAAAGAGTTCCAGACAGAAGCAGCTGAAGATAAAGAAACAATTCAGACAAAAAGCTCAACTTTAAGCAGCTTCAAGAGCCAAGCACACTAAATCAACTTCCAACAATGTCTTCATCAAAGCTTCATTTTAACAGAGTCGAGGAAATCTGGAAAGAGCTGAAGACAGCTATCATCTCATTGCTGTGTAAAGACATGGGCTACAAGACTAAGAGACACTAAAGACTGGTTTGTCAGGAATGACCACATCAGCAAAGGTCTCATCAACAAGAAAAGGTCAAACAACATCACGAGAAAGGCAAAGAGGAGATCTCAAACAGCGGTGGGGGAGTTACAAAGAAGAATGAGGGAAATCAAAACCCAATGGTTGACTATTCACTAGATAGCAGTGGGCAGCAAGGACATGCAGGTATAAGCTCTTTGACTCAGCAACATTTGGAAATATCTGTGTATCAGTCACTAATTTTTCTTTTCTCAATTACATAAAATATTACTTTTGAAGATAGTATAAAATCCAAGCAAAGCATCATTGATGACTGCTATTTTCTACAGAGAAACCAGCCCTGATCAATGCCTTAGACAAGTTATCAGCAGCTTTAAAATCATTCGTATGATTATCATCGAGACTGAAAGACAATCTCTCCACATTTCCAGTGGGTCCCTCCACTTCCTTCCTCAGCTTTTAGCTTGCATTCAAACCCGACTCTAATTGCCCATTTTGCACTTGGTCTCTTCTCCCTCGCCACACTTCCCACTGGTATGTTCTCCTCCTCCCTTCTCCGCTCACAGTCCCACTGCAGGAAAACAAATGCTGCTATGGTGCAGAAACCCTCATACGTGATTTTACAGACATTTTGAAGACAGTTGAAAGAATTCCTGCCCACAGGGGTGAGAAATGCCTGCAGCAGCTGCTGTTCAGAGTAGGAGGCAGGCTGAAGGTGGAGCAGAAAATGGCTCCCACGTTAGTTCTGTCACAGGAAATGGAAATGCACATAATGCACATTCCTTACTTCGTCCTGGTTCTCCGAATTGGTTTGCTTGATTCGGAGCCCCATGATATTACTTTGGACTTCACAATCTCCGACCTTTAGTGTTGCATAATTGGAGCCAAAGTCTTTGACGTTTTTGTGAAGATCGCTGCAAACAGACAGCCTCTGTATCAGCATTTGCTTAGCAACAGGAAACAAAGGTAACTAAACCCTTTGTTGTAAGCAGCACATACCAGCAGTCATTTTGGTTACATTGTATGGTCTGCCACTATAGCACCTCATTCTCCATTATAATAAACACCTCACTCTATTATAACAAACACCTTCAAAAAGGAATCCCTGGCCTCTTTGCGAGAAAACTTTGACTGGTTTGACTAAAATGACCAATAGGTAAGGGACCTAATTAAAGGAGTTAAGCACAAGCTTTCATTAACTGGAAATTCTGCTATCGCTCAATGAAAAGCAGCAGTTCTTCAAGCAAATTAGGACAATGGTACATCTTATAACTAAAAGAACAAATAGACAATAGAAATATCGTGGGAGATCCAACAGCACATGAATGCCAAAGACATGTGTTACTTCAGCACTCTCATGATGATCTATGACCTAAACAGTCAAGGGGCCACTCCACTGGCAGCCAGGTATGGAGGAGAGCATATCGAAAACAGGGAGGTGGTCAAAGCTGGCTGGAAAGAACATTTTGAAGCACTCAACTGTTCAACCTCAACATCCTCAACTCCATTTCTAAGGTGTCCCATTTGGCTCGATTTCAGTGCTGCCCTTGTTTGGATTAAAGACGAAAGTCAATGAGCAAATGACAAAGAACAAAGCTCCTGGAGGGGAAAATCTCTCCTGGAATTCTGAAACAGTATAGGCATACACTCCTGGCATGCCTTCGGAATTTCGTATCCCTCATTTGGGAAGAGGAGCACAAGTTGGAGGATCTTGGGGATATGGTTTGTCATTATTATGTTTGAGAAAGAAGTGAAGTTTGATTTGAGGCAAGTACAGAAGAGTCTTCCCTGCAGTCTACCACAAGAAAGATCGTTACAATGATCCGCCTCAATCACTTCCTTCCGGTATCTGAGGATCTCCTTCAAGGGGAAATGTTCCGCCTATTGAGAAGCACCATAAATATGATCTTTTCTCTGTCTCTCTCTCGTGTGAAAACAGCACCTATTGTTGCAGATGCCATTTTCTGACCTCAGGAAAGCCTTGGAGTTTCAACCACAAAGGATTGTAGAGTATCCTCCTCAAATTTGAATTCCCTCAAATT